CCATGAGCTTAACTTCTATGTCCTTGATCAGTGCCCCTTCGACGCGGTTATTGGCTTGGGCTGGTTGCAGGCCCAATGCGTAAGAACCACGTGGAAGGACTCACAGTTCATAGTTATGGATGCTATGGGGATCGAACGGCCAGTCCTCTTGGACGAACCGCGCGAGCCACAAGTCACCTTCCTTAATGCCATGCAATTCTGCAAAAAGTGGCGCAGGCGCAAAATGGATGAGCAAATGTACATAGCCTTTGTTAGGCCTGCTCATGTGCCTTCGATTTTTGCTGAAAATAGTGGTGCTACTTTGCATGTTGTTTCTACTCTTGATGCATCTCCATCTACTTCTACACCATCTACTTCTAGTCCAAATGATGCTGGTGGAAAGTCTGTTCTTTTGGGTGTACCTTTGCAGTCCGGTATGCTGGCTCCTGAGAATGATGATTCCCCACCGGAAATCCCACCGGAAATCAGCAACCTTCTCAACCGATTTCCCGAGGTCTTGGCCGAACCACATGGAGTTCCCGTGCGACCGGTCCGGCACAAAATCGAGTTGATTGAAGGAAACACTCCCCCAAAGGGCTGTGTCTATCGTATGGGCTCAGGCGAATTGGAGGAGCTGCGGAGGCAAATTGATGAGATGATTGTCAAGGGTTGGATCAAACCCAGTGAGTCTGAGTTCGGTGCACCGGTGCTGTTTGTCCCAAAGAAAGGAGGCAAATTGCGGATGTGTATCGATTACCGTGGATTGAACAGAATCACAAGGAAGAATGCGTATCCCTTACCGCGGWTTGATGATTTGCTTGACGCTGCAGGTGGGTGCAAAGTCTTTAGCAAGATCGATCTCAAGTCTGGCTACCACCAGATCGAGGTCGAACCTGCGGACCAGCACAAGACTGCATTCAAAACTCGCGACGGGCTGTACGAGTTCACCGTTATGCCCTTCGGTCTTACGAATGCACCTGCCACCTTTCAAAGTCTCATGGACAAAGTGTTTCGCAATCAGATCAATCGGTTTGTTGTTGTTTATCTTGACGACATCTTAATTTTCAGCAAATCGATGGAGGAGCACATGAGACACCTTGAGGAGGTGATGCAAATCCTCAAGGAAGCGCAGCTCCATCTCAACTTGGAGAAATCTGAGTTTGGGAGGGACAGCGTCATCTACCTTGGACACCGCTTGTCTGCTGCAGGCCTAGAGCCCGARGCAACCAAGGTTGAGGTCATTCGGAACTGGCCCCAACCTGCGAATGTCCGTGAGTTGCGTTCTTTTCTTGGTCTTGCGTCGTATTACCGCAAATTTGTGCCCAAGTTCTCTATCATTGCTCGCCCATTGTCTCGACTAACCAKCAAGAATGTCTCTTATGCATGGAATGATGAGTGCGCGGCTGCGTTTGAAACACTCAAACAAGCTTTGGTAAGTCATCCGGTACTCCGCATTGCGGATCCCAAACTTACATTCGTGGTTACCACGGATGCAAGCTTGTATGGGATTGGCGCAGTGCTGCAGCAAGATGACGGCGACGGTTTGCGTCCGCTGGAGTACTACAGCAAACGAATGCCTAGCCAAAAGGTAGCTGCATCCACCTACATGAGAGAGCTTTATGCCTTGCGAGAGGCGCTCAATCACTGGAAGCACTATCTTTTGGGCCGCCACTTCAAAGTCTTTTCTGATCATGAGACTCTGAAGTGGATTCAGACACAAAGTACTCCCTCAACTACGTTGACACGATGGCTGCATGAGATTGATGTGTTTGATTTTGAGCTCAAACACAAGAAAGGCTGTTACAATCGTGTTGCAGATGCATTGTCTCGCCACCCCGAGTACATGACTTGCCTAGTGGGTTCCTACGATCTCCGAAAGAATCTACRGCAGGAACTCACTGAGCACACTGCCAAGGATCCGGAACTCAGTCCCATCCTTGAGCAGATTCGAGCTGACCCCAGCAGTCAGCCTGATTTCCATGAGTGCAAGGGACTTCTCTTTCGACGGTCCGGTAAGTACGACCGGCTGTGTGTACCCAACCATGCGCCTATCATCACTCACTTCTTAGATCTGGCTCATGGTCGGAGTGGACATTTTGGTGTTGAGAAGACCTACGCAAATCTGTTGGAAAGGTTTGTATGGCCTGGTATGAAACGGATGACGCAGCAGTTTGTGGCTGAGTGTGAGGTATGCCAACGCAACAAACCATCCCGGCAAAAGCCCTATGGGCTGCTGCACCCTCTTCCTATCCCTGATGGTCCGGGAGAATCAGTTTCCGTCGACTTCACGGACATGGGGAAGAAGAGCAGGAATGGTTACTCGCAAGTAATGGTGATTGTTGATCGTTTTTCTAAGTTTCTGAATTTGATCCCATTGCCACCTCACGCCCCAACTGACCTTGTCATTGAAGAATTCAACAAGAAGTATGTGCTGCAGTATGGACCCCCAAAGACTCTTGTGAGCGATCGGGATACCCGGTTCATCAGCGCAGATTGGAAAGACTTCACCTCCCAGACCTATGACATGACGCTCAAAATGACGTC